CGAAGAATTAAATTGTGGCAAAATGCTACAAGTTCTTCAAATACCTATAAAATGATAGTTTCTTTTTGTGAGTGTAAAACACTTAAATACACCAGTTCGTATTTCAGCATTTGCTAAACAACTTCCACCCATCAGTCAAATTTACACTGAAACTAACCAATGCAGAAGGAAAATTAACATTCTTGGATGTAACCCTAAAAGTCCAAGACAGACAAATAGGGAGTTCCATGCATAACAAAGAATGTAAAAGAAGCAGATTCTTCTCCAATAGAAATCACACCACCCAGACCAAGTCAAAAGGGGAATAATAGTATTAGTAGGAGAAATGAGGAGAATAAATCGAAACTGCTCCACATTAAATTCCACTCAAAGAGAACAAAAAGACTTGAAGTTGAAAGCACTACTATACGAAATGGATACCCCAAACATTACATCGAGTGTTTTCAAATCACAAAAAAAAAACATCACAACAAAACCCAAACAAATGACACATACACGAAAAACCCACAATGTACATTCCTTTCATAAGCAACACATTCACAACCAGGATTCGTAAAGCTATTACACAAGTTAAAAGTAAAACAACCCCAGCTGACAATCAACATAACGTAAAACCAGATAAAACACTGAAAGTGAAACAACTATTAGTTTACCCTTCATACTTATAAACAAAATGTACCAAAACGCAATGCTACGCCAGAAAAAACGAGGCAAGACAAATGTGCCACATCAAAAACGTAGCCTTTCAAATCATATGTAATATATGTGGAGACGAATATATAGGTGAAACCGGAAGACTTTTGCAAACGCACGTCTCACTCAGAACACATCAGTGCTAAACCGTCCCTGCAGAACACTTCCTATACAAACATGGAACCCCAAACACAGGATATCAAAACTCATTTAAAATTTATATCTTACAAAAAATACAGATTTTAATAAAAGAAAAATATATGGAAGCCATACTCATCAACGATAAAAATCCAAAAATGAACAGGGACAATTAACATGTAACTTAACTAAACCGCCATTAAAAAAAACAACACATCATAGTACACAGTACACTTAACGTTATTAATTTTACTTTAACACTTACGTACTCTGGCGTATCACACAGTCTTACAATTTGTTTTTCGCACTGCTACAGAGCTAGTAAACTTTGTATCCTTTCAATTTAAAACCTTTGTTTCTTAGCAACTTCTACTTTCCGACTATTTGTTTTTGTGGCTAAAAATTAAAAATTTTGTGATTCCCTTTATTTTTATATTTTTTTACATACATAATATCTGTCTTATGTTAGTATGGCCATATAGTTAGTATCATAATTATACTATAATAACAGAACAACAACGAAACGTTAATAATATTATATATTCATTGTTAGAGGTGCGTTACGGCAAACTCGAGAAATAGATCATCATAGGCAGTTTCATAATTTACCGAAATTTTAAAAATCAAATATTTTTATGTACTAGGCCTGAAGAAGCAGCAAAGTCGAAATAATGGTGAAAACAAAGGTGTTCTTTTAATTATCTGGAGTGATATGGTCGTTTTTTTAAACTTTTTTGATAAAAATATGTGCATGCCCTACAAATTTTGAAAGACTAAACAAAATAGACTTTGTATTATGATTATAATTATTATAATGTTTTACCAAATGCATATTATTATTTATGATTTTATTCGCTTTTTCGTAAAATATATGAGCATTAAAAAAACGTACACTTTGTAAGGCGATTCAACGAGTTTTCACACCATACTAAATTTTTGGAACGAACCTGGTGTTGTCCAGTTATTGTTAAAACTAAGTCTACTGATGATATTTTTAAGGTGCTTAGTTCGATAAATTGCATTTTAATGCATTGCAAGTAAGACAACTTGGCCCGTTTACTAAATAATTAACTACACGATACTTCACTCCTTACTTTCATTTTCAGAATACTGTCTCAAAATAAAAAGAATAATTCCATAAAATGTACGGATAAGCTGGTAATATTTACTATCTAGTATTACTAGATTTAATAAATCTAGGGATCGCATATTGCAAATTTCCAAATCTGATGACGGAGTATTTTGACTACAAATAATAGCACACTGCTCTGGAGTCTAATAATAATAAGAATGTTTGTTTCTGATTAACCATAGAAAACTTAACATTCATAACCGAAACAAATAAACACAAAGGTATAACTTTAATAGCAATATGCACGTTACAAAGTTAAATCTAATATGCGATATCAGAAAAGTCTAAAATTAAAATAATTACTGTGAATAAAATATATGCTATGTGCGTAAAAAATCTTACTATTCTGTTTGTATTTCGTAAAGCTCTTCTAAGTTCAACCCTGTGTTACCCGTACCCAGAAACCCAATGTAGTAGTGTACACGACTTCGCAATTAAACTTTATGTTATTCAACTCTTCCTCACTAGATGTCACTTGAGCAGTTGATTATTCATAGATTTTTATCTCAAAGTTTAATATTAGAGAAGTGCACTTGTCATGTGACATTACGAAGAACAGGGGAATCTGCCGCTGTATCGCGAATTATCATCCGGGTAGTAGATATGCGCATGCGTGTAACAGAAGCGAGACATTCGTCGACATTATATCTGTCTAGACTCTAGACCAGCGTTTCCCAAACTTTTTTGGCCACGGAACACCCGACAAATGAAATATCGGCGTAGAGGATATGTGTGCGCACGCAGCGCACTCAATACTTGTATATTATTCATTTATTTATTTAATCAAATTATATATTAATGATTTTTACATTTCTATGCTTATAATAATTGTTACG